CTGTGAGATTCAGCCTCACTACAATGTGTTTTCATACCCAGTCCTCTGACCTGTTACCAGTAAGCCTAATTAGGAGCATAATTCTCCTCCAGCTGCCTTGGATTTGTGCGACCTACTTTTACAGCTTTTTTGTTGCCCGTCTTGCCTTTTTCTAATTGTACGCCTGTCGAAAGACGAATGTATCGGTGCAGTGTCCGTTTGTACGGCCGTGAACTTTCGTACTATATCGCAATAAGTCATTATTTTACAAAGACTGCATGGAGAAAAACATTTGGTGTGTTGTTCACTTAATGGATGCTAATGGTTACATGTTAATGTGAACAATTCTGTGCAAAGAATAAATTTTATCCCCCAAAGTTGAATTTACCAGATTACTTAAAGCTTTACCAAAACAATTTACTGATCAGATGCAAAATATAAAAGCATATCATCCTATAACCCCACAATTACCCACTCTATCTATTAATGGAATATAATTTATACTGACAAAAACAGACAACAACAAAAACTACACAATTAGAAGCTGTCTAAATGAAACTTTATTCCCTGGGAAAATAAATAAAAATTTTGCAAATTTGAACAACAAAAAAAAAAAAATAATCAATTGAAATGTTAAGAACTCTATATGCAGAACTCCCCATACAACTAAAGGCTAAAGAAACACACTTTAAATTTTTAAATGCAGTTAATCCCTCCAAAGAGCTACCAAGAAATTGTTTTAATATTTGATGACAATAAATTTCATTCTGTGACGAGGACATAGAAACAATAGACCATATTTTCTATAAATGTGTCTAAATAAAGGTTGATTGAAAAAAAAAAAACACTATATATATAGGAATCACTTAGAAAGGTGGATCACACAGAAAATTATACTTCCTGAATCTATTTCTAGAGATATGAAACAAAATACATAAAACAAACAAACAAACAAACAAACAAACAAAAAAATAGAACTCTGTTGTAATCTGATATTTTGTCCGGCAACATTCTTTATTCATAAACAGAGAGTGCTAAGCTCATCCCCAGTTTTAAACTTTTTTAAATCTGAATTCCAATTATATTTGACATTTTTTAAAATATATTGAAACACAGGAATCCCTGTATGAAATGTTAATGAAATTGCCCACTAATACATGCTAATCATAATTTTAAAATATATACCCATTTGTATATTTATATAGATAGATAGATAGATAGATAGATAGATAGATAGATAGATAGATAGATAGATAGATAGATAGATAGATAGATAGATAGATAGATAGATAGATA